TTGAATCCAGACTGGGTAACTTAGTGACTTAGCAAAACTCTCAAGATGGAAAGAAAGGAAGGAAGGGAGGGAGGGAAAGAGGGAAGGAAGGAAGGAGGGAGGATGGGTGGAAGGACAAAAGAAAAGAAAGGAAAAGAGAAAAGGAAAAGGAAAAGGAAAAGGAAAAGGAAAAGGAAAAGGAAAAGGGAAGGGAAGGGAAGGGAAGGGAAGGGAAGGGAAGGGCTAGGACTATACCACAGTGCAAAGGCCCTGGGTTCAATCCCTAGTACTGGGGAGAGGTACTTCTTTTATCTCTTTCCACCTTTGTTACGGAAAGATGCTCTGAGCCTTTTATACCTTTACATACTTGGGCTAATTCAGTATCCATCACCTCAGCACCAAGATGATGTCAAACCCAGTGCCTCCCTACCAAAGCTTGGCCCCACCCACTGAGCCCCATCCTACCAAACACTGGTGCAAAATCCAAAGAATATTATAGTTTAAATCAAATGTCACAGAAGAGCACCTGCACATTCCACCAATGGTACCTTAGGAAGCTACGTCCATGCCATAGCCAATACCAGGCGTGTGTCTTCAGTACCCAAAATAGTAATGCCACCTCTGTTCCAATTCCCCTTATGGAAGATGGTCCTTCATAACGTTATAGTTTGTTCCACTAATCAACAGTTAAGCTAAAACAACCCGGGCGAAGATCAATGTGTTTTTGCAGGTAACCCACCAGCATGCCAGAAAAATGCCATGATGGAAAAGCTTTTCCAAAATGTTGAAAGTGGGCTGGGGATTTAGCTCAGCAGCACAGCACCTGCCTGGTAAGCGCAAGGTCGTGAGTTCGATTCCCAGTACCGGAAAACAAACAAACAAAAAAAAAAAAAACCAAAATGTTGAAAGCAAAATTCTACTTATCAAATGTTAATATACCAGCTGGGCATAGTGGTGCATGCCTTTAATCCAAGCAGTCTGTGAAGCTGAGGCAAGAGAATCACAAGTCTGGGCCCAGTCTGCATAACTTAACAAGAGCCTGTGTCAAGGTAAAAAAAGGATAAAGAGGAAGTTCGGTGTAAAAGCCCTGGGTTCAGACCCCAGTAACACACCAGTATTTAGTAACTCAACACATAATGTATGTACAAAGGGACTTTTAAGCCAAAGACTGTGGGGATTTGCCCACTGCGTCATGCCCTATGATGGATCTCAGCAACATTAAATCAAGCTCTACCATCTATGTCTTCTATCAAAAAGTCTCAAACACATCATTTCATTTCCTTCCCTCCACCGTACTAGCTTTGCACATTCGGGCTCCTTTGGTTAAAAGTCTCTCCTTCACCTTTGATCTACTCCCGATCCAGAATACAGTAGCCATGGCAACTGATAAACACAAGGAAACATGGACGTGCAGAAGTCAGCAATGGCTGTGAGCCTGGGGATTAGAATAATGGTGTTGTCACAGACAGAAATGGAACGGGAATTAATTTGGTTGGGAAAAAGTTTGGATTTGGAGACCTGAACTTGGAGATGATGGAAAAATCCTCAGTGTCTGGGTACAAAATCCCAAATACATACCATCAGTAGAGACAGCAGCTGAAATCATGACAAAACAATTTCCTAAGTTAAAAAGAGATGAGAGAAAGACAGTAACAAAAACATCCACTCAGACTCCCCTGAAGTATTCCTGCCTTGTATATTGTCTTTATTATCTAGTTTTCCCCTAGTAAATATGCTCATATTTGTACTAAATTCTGTAGTATCTAGAGTCAAACCTCACATATCTTTGTGTAGGTTTCTGGGGTCACAGAAGCTACTCAATGAAATCATTTGGGCTGGTTCTAGTAACTATCCAAAAAGATCTATGAAATACCTCCTATCAGTGGAATTTTACCAATATTTAACACAGTCCCTGGAAATGAAGACCACTAGCGTGTGTTATTTAGAGCCTCTCTTTGAGGTCAACACTAAAGAAGGTCTTTATATTAAATTCATACATTTGTTGACTGAAATCTATTAAAAATCCACCATGTACGACGCACTGGCTGTGCTAGGCTGTGCCTCCTGGGAGACATCCAAGGTCCCCGCTCCTCTAAATCTTAACTGTATTTCTATCTTCTTGTGCAAACTCAGAGATAACCTTGTTTCCTTTTAGGGGACTCTACTCTATTTGGAAATACACGTGCTTGTAGCTTTACAATTTTCTTTTAACATTAACTGTTATGGCTTGAATCTAGATGTCCCCCCAAAGCCTCATGTGCTCACAGGGGGCTTCTCAGGGGTGGCTGGATCTAGGGTGTGTGGTAACTGGGTTAGTGCATTAGCTGGTTTAGATAGCTATGGGTGTGGGGGGCTGGGGATTTAGCTCAGCGGCAAAAGCGCCTGCCTGGCAAGCGCAAGGTCGTGAGTTCAGTTCCCGGTACCGGAGAAAAACCAAAAAAAAAAAGATAGCTATGGGTGTGGATAATGGGAAGCCCCATTCTGGGTATGGGTGGCAGCAACCAACCGTCTTACAGCCGGAATGGAACACAAAAGGAGAGAAAAGAAAGAAGCTTGCTGCTTACTTCTTCCTGCTTGCTCTGCCATGGACTGTTTTTCTCCTTCCACGCCATCCCTCCTTGGTGCCAGACAACTAGGGACTGAAACCCCTACAAACCGTGAACTAAATAAACCTCTTCTCCTTCAACTTGTGGGTGTCGGGTATCTTGTCCCAGCAATAAGAAAAGTAACTAAGACATTGACAAATAGTCTCAATTACTTAAAACAAACCCACAGTAATATGGTTTGAGAATAACTGCTACTTACTTCCCAACTAAGATAAAACTGCATATTCTCAAGGTTTCCTTCCAACTTTCTTCAGACACTGAAGCTATTAGTAAAAGTTCATTACATCTTTCGTGTCACAAGACTCAGAGCAAAAATCATCCTGGCCTTCCGATAAATCCTCACTCCTTAGTCCCTCTTTTTTAATCTATCATTGTCATTACCCACCTCACTTCTCCTCATCCAATATCCAATTCCGTCCTCTCTTCCATGCTGGCCTCTCCAACTCCTCTAGCCTTTGGCCTCCTCCTCTGAAATCTGTTGGTTGTATAATCTCCAACATACATATACATACTGTGCCTGTGTGTGTGTGTGCGCGTGTGCGCGCGCACGCACGCCTCCAACCAATTTGTATGTAAATCTTCAAGCAATTTAACATTGAAGTTTAAGTTTTCTTATGTTATTCTGTAAATATTTCACACAGTGCTCCTTTTTCCCCTCTGTCTACTAGAATATACCAGCTATTTGAGGGAGCATCCATCTGTGGATGGTATGTTCAGCAGCACCATCCTATGCAATGCTGAGCACATAAAAGCTAGACCACATTTGCAAATGGCCAAAATGCCTCTTGGTTTTTACGAAATTTCATAGAATACCTGATATACTTTGCCCATTTGACAAATGCTTCAGGTCATAACATTACTTAGTACACCAGCATTAAATTCATCCTACCAAGTCCTTCAAGAAAGGTCCTATTTTGATAAAGAAAGGACTTGGGGGAAGTAAATCTTTTAGCATCTTGATGTCACTGCTACTAATACTATATTACTATCCTTTACAGTTTAAAGAGGCATTACTCATGAAAGATTAGGGAAAACAGGGACAAGTTATGAGTGAATAATGCTGGAATAAAAGGAAGCTTAGCATCCAAGACAGTAAAGCCAGTAATATCTTGCCCATCAAAGCTAGTAACATCCTGTGTAACTAGACCCAGATTTTCTTTCCCTCCTCGGGGTGGGAATGTCACACACAGTTGCAGTATCTCCCTAAGCAGTCAAAAGACCTAGAAGACAGTAAGGCCATGTCAAGCTCATTAGGATCACACGCTAACCAGTTAAGCAACCACAAAGTGGCAAATGGCATAGGGAATAGTTTGGAAAAGAATAATAACAGTGATCAGAAATAAATAGATAAAAATATTTAAAATGAAAACAGCATAGCTCAGAGCCAGGCATAGTACACAAACCTGTAATCCAGCTACTCAGTAGGTTGAAACGGGAGGATCTCAAGTTCAAGACAAGATTGGCAAGACCCAATCTCAAAACAAAAAACAAAACATGCTCCTAACGGAACCCAGTCAGTCTCCAGTGATGTGTGCAGATGGAAAGGTGACAGGCAGGGCAAAGACAGCCCAGAAAGGAAACTCAACTCAGAAAACACACACAACACACACACACAGGAAACAACACGTACACAGTACACATGACACACACACAGTACGCAGGACACACACACATCGCTCGCATGACACAGTCACACGCATGCAACGCACACCCAACACAGCACAAGGCGTAAGGAACAGCCCGGAGAGCAACTTCAACATCTCAGGGTCTCTAGACGTGTACCCACACACCACAGTGCACACAGGGATTAGGCTGAAGCCATATCCCCTTATCTACCTCCAAGGGATCCCGACCCTTTGCCATGAGCCCAGGAGCCCCTCTTTACATCCTACTGAAAGGATAGTTCTTGTCTTCAGCAAACAAAAATTACTTCAAGCTCCAAAGACACTTATTATGGTGGGAAGAGAGGGCGAGTTGAGGAGGGAGCAATTACCAAACTGGGCTTTCAAGGCTTCCCTTGAAATCAACTGCTCTCTTGCCTTTGCCTTTTCCTGTAAAATAAAGCTTCATATACAGGTTGAAGAAACTGTCTTCGGGGTAAAAACTGCCTCTGTAACAAAATGAAGGTAGATCTGCAAAATGTAAATGAATGGAGAGGGAACAGAAAGGTTCTGCTTCCTGGCCATCAAAATGAGACTGGTCGGGGCTGGGGATTTAGCTCAGCGGCAAAAGCGCCTGCCTGGCAAGCGCAAGGTCGTGAGTTCGGTTCCCGGTACCGGAAAAAAAAAAAAAAAAAAAAAAATGAGACTGGTCGGGGCTGGGAATTTAGGTCAGCGGCAGAGCGCCTGCCTGGCAAGCGCAAGGTCATGAGTTCGATTCCTGGTACCAGAAAAAAAAAAACAGAAAAACAAAATGAGATTGGTGGAACTGTGCCAAAATCAGAAATTAAAGTGTGCGCTCTTCTCCCCAAGGAAACCCTCCAGAGCTGCCTTTGAAGTCACACATGCTCCACAGGACACAGACTGAAACAGACTCCTGCACAGGTTTCTCATGTATAGCTCAGTATGAGACAGTGTCCTTCAAACATTCCAAGAAGTCATTTTCAGCTCCTTCTTGGATGTGCTGAACCTTATGCCCTGGAACTGAAATCCACATCTCCCTCTGGTTATACCTTCTGGTCCCAGGGACAGCCCCGGGGACTTGGCCCAGCCTCCTGGACCTGTCCCAGGCCCTGCCAGAATGGACAAGGTCCAATTCCCAGCTTTCAGGGACCGAGGCTGTGTTTGTGGCCACCTGGCCAGCCTTGGCCAGATTTGTAGCCTTCTGGTCACCCCAACCAGCTCCCTGGGAGACCTCGGGCCCTTCGTATGTAGCCATTCTCCCTGCCCAGCCTGCAGGATGAAGGACAGTTTTGCATTCTCCAATGTGATACCCACATCAAAGGGAGGAAAGAATCTCACATTTGGATGAATAATAATCTAGCTAGCTAGCTTTGCTGTCAGGGAACCCCTGGTAAACCTCATTACAGCTGTAAGTACATCAGTATTTGTATCATTTGTTTTGTTTTCCACCTAGATACTGAGCTTAGAGTGTGGAACTACCCTGAGTCAGGATGATGTAACTAGGAGCTAAAAGGTCAGAGAGAAAGAAACAAAAATATTTTCTATTTTAGAATGCATTAGGGCCAAGGATATAGCTCAGCGGCACAAGCGCCGGCCTGGCAAGCACTACGCCCTGAGTTTAATTCCTGGTACCAAAATAGATAAATAAATAAATAAACCACATTAGTTCACCCACTGCATGAATTTTAAAGGAAAAACAACCAAAACAGTAGCTTTTCAGCATAAGAGATTTAATTGTAGAATGCATTAGAATATAGGATCTTCTCTTATGAAGGGAAGCTAAAACTAAAAGGAATCTGGAAGACCAAATAACGCAATTACTTAAAGAAGGAGAAACTTCCACCTAGAGTTAACAGTTCAGACTAACAGAGTAGTGTCAAAGATGCTCACAAGCCAATCAAAGGAATCTCTGCTGGCCAAAGATAAGACGACCTACATATCAAAAAGAGTAACTGTAAATTATTCAAATACACCAAACCTACAAAATCCACGGGTTTATAATGAGCTGATAAAATGTTCACAGCAATCTTCCCCTTGAAATAATGTGGAGAACAACTCACTGGCCGATCACCAGTGGAGGCTGCAAGGACCCCAACTTATTCTGAAAACTGATTTTTAAAACACTTGCCTTTCCTTTTCAAACTGTATTTCTGGATAATCAAATCCATGTAAGTGAATCCCAACTGATAAATGTGGGGAAAACAATGGAATTAGGAAGTTCCCACTTTCCGACTCCTGGGGAAGAACATCAGTAGTCACGAAAACGCCTTAAGTGGAAAGCTGACGACGAAATTTATTAAAAAGCAATCCAGATGAACACAGTGAAGGCTGACCTCGTTACAGACAAGTTTAACAGCCAGTTTAAAATCTATGCTCCCTGGCCGGGTGTGGTGGTGCACACCTATAATCCCAATACTCAGGAGGCTAAGACAGAAGGATCACTGGGAGTTCAAGGCCAACCTGGGCTACAAAGTGAATTCAAGCCATTGTGAACTGCATATCAAAATCTGTCTCAAAAAAGACAATTGATCAATCAATCAATCAATCAATCAATATAAATAAACAAAATCTATGCTACCTGAAGGGTCAAATAAGTGTAGTAGGGGTGAGTAACATGATCCCATCCTGTGACTGGCCCAGCCCAATAACACTGTCTCAAAGAATTTGTGCCTACAGACAATCAGCATGTGGAGTATTTGTCATAAATAAATAAAAAAATTTTGGAAGAAACCAGATGAAAAACCTGTGCAGGAACAAGGTAGTAATTACATCCAACTTCTCCTCAGAAACAATAAGAATTATAAGCAACTTCTCTTCAGAAACCATGTAAGAGGACAATGGAGTAAAATATTTAGTTAAGCAAAAAAAAAAAAAAAAAAAAAAACCTCAAATTCTATACCTTGCTAAATTATTCTCCAAAGGTAAAGAAGAAATAAAGTCTCTCTCAAAGAAAAACTGAGGGAATGAGTTACCAATACAAGTACCTTGCAAGAAATGTTAAAAGAAGTTCAAGTGAAGGAAAAAATAAAGGAGCTAAGTGTGATGGCACTGACCTGTAATCCCAGTACTCAGGAGGCTGAGGCAGGAGGATCACCATGAGTTCAAACCCAGCCTGGGCTATGCAGTGAGTTCAAGGCGAACCTGAACTACATAGCCAGACCTCACTCAAAAAACATTTTAAAAAATAAAGGAAGGAAACAGATGTACATAAAGGAAAAATACTGCAGGAGGAATATGAGGAAGCAAAATAAAAGCTTTCATTTTCCTTACTCTTGATTGAGCTAGTGGATAGTAATTTGTTAAAAATAAAATAGTAGCAATGCATTAAATTACACTGATACATAATCTTATGTATACATGTGTATCTAGGTTTATGTACTATATATAAGTGAAATGAACAGGAACACTGGTATAAGGGGGAAAAGAGGAATCAGAACTCTTTTGTGATTTTAA